TACTACTACTACACTACGACGACGACCACCGCCACCACTACCACTACCACTACCACTACCACTACTCCTACTCCTACTCCTTCTCCTACTCCTACTCCTACTCCTACTCCTACTCCTACTCCTACTCCTACTCCTACTCCTACTACTACTGCTGCTACTACTACTACTACTACGACTGCTACTGCTACTGCTACTGCTACTGCTACTACTACTACTGATAATGACTGCGACTGACTACTACTGACTACTACCACTACAACTACTACTACTACTACTACTACTACTACTACTACTACTACTACTGCTTCAGCTTCAAACCATCATCGCTGCCCCTGCCCCTTACTCCAACACCACTAGTAGTACTCCTTGTATAAAACTAGTAGAAACGCAATTTCTGATTGCCAGTGCGTAGCACGAAAAGACTACTTACGGACTAAAACGAGTAACATGTCTGAGAATGTGGAAAGCACGAGACACAGCGGTGATCGTGATAATACGAGTAGTACCCGAAACACTACCAACACTTGATTCCCGTTGGTACGCGTGGTGGCTAGTGGACGAAGCATTACACGTAGAAGCAGTACGAGTAGCAGCAGTAGCACGACAAACGCTGACGCACCAGTGCGCCAGGTGATGGTCAGTGATTGTGCTGGTGATCATGATGCAACAGCATTTGCGATGGTCAAAGAAAGACAACATTCACCTGGCATGTTGGCTGCGAAGCTTCTGATGACTGTCACCCAGCAGTCGAACAAGCAAGGATTTGGCATCTCCACCCCGTCCAACAAGCTGCCACGATCCCGGCGTTGACGCTGATTGTGTTGATGGTGACGAAGCTCATCATCATGAGGAGGAAGACACGAAAAAGGAGCCGGAGGAGCAGGAGGAGGGTCGTGGTGATGGTTTTGATCAGGATGACCGTGGTTGATGCAGATGCTGAAAAGGATGTCGTGATCCTGGTCATGGTGCATGACCGACGATGACGGTGAAGAGCCGATGAAAATTGGGGATGAAAAGGTCCAGCTTGATTGTGACGACGGAAATGACGCCGATGATGATGATGATAATAGCAATAATAACGATGGTGGTGGTGATGGTGATGGTGATGGTGGTGGTGGTGGTGGTGGTGGTGGTGGTGGTGGTGGTGGTGGTGGTGGTGATGGTGCTGGTGGTGATGGTGCTGGTGCTGGCGGTGCTGACGGTGATGGTGCTGATGATGATGATGATGACGATGATGATGAGAATGATGAGGATGAGGATGATGAGGGTGATGAGGATGAAGATGATGATGTTGATGATGATGTTGATGATGATGATGATGGTGCTGATGCAGCTTATGCTGCTGTAAGTTGTGATGAAGACGTGATGATGCTTATGTTGCATGTACGAATCGTACGAAGCTGCAAAGCTACGTTTCCGGTCAATGTACAACGTGTTGAAACAAACACGATTGCCATCGAAGGTACAACTAGCGATCGCGATGACGATGATGATGCTGCTGTTGATGATACTGACGCTGACGTCGCACACGACTGATGAGGAGGATGAGCAACAAGAAGGGAGGACGAAGACCAGAACGACAATGACGCCGACACGTCGGACTTGCTGATAATGACCATCATCCTAGCAATGAAAATGGCTACGAATTTAGAGTTGGAGGAGTGCGAGTGCCAAGTCCACACCCTGGCCCCTGGCCTCGTCTGGGAGGCATGCGTAGATCCGCGACATCCTTGCAGGCACTCTTACCCCCTCTTTCGAGTGTCCATGCTCGGCGGGGCCCGCGCAAGGCGGCTGTGTCTGTGGCAGCGACTCGCAGCGCAGACTTTGGTAACGTCGCCGCCAGGCCTGGACTGCGGACTCGGATGGACTCGGACGGCGCAAATGCGTTTCCGGGCCCCTGTGAGCCCCTGGGCCTGGCCTGCTGCCAGGCCAGTGATGGATGCCAAGACGTTCAAGGAGACCCGCCTAGGAGAGCGTGGGAGGTGGGAGGTCAAAGCAGACCAGGCTCGCCTCACAGAGGTTGCCACCGACAGTCCTCGCAAAGACGTCCGAGCAGTCTCATAAGCCTGGCCAGTGCTCCTGCAGTGCCGGCTTGAACGACCGGGAGAGCAGTACGAACATGGCCAAGTCATCTCGTCTTCACCCGTACAGCAGCTGGCCTTGCTGATACGTGATCCCGAGCACCTGCATGGAAAACCATTGAGGGAACTGCTGGATGCTGCATTGCTCTGTCTCGAGGCTGCCTCTGCCACGGTGTTACCGGTGCGACTCTGAGCTTGCGCTGCCGCAAAGATTAGGAGGAGCTTGCTTACCGCCCGGCCTGCAGCTGGTGTGCTGAGCCCAGAAGGCCCTGCAGGGCCTCTGTCACCGTACCCGTCAGGAGTTCCTGTGACTGGGCCTGGATCAGCAGCGCACATTTACTTGCGAAGGACCCCGAGGTTAGAGGGCATTCGAATTGTAGAAGGCTCTGTTTGAATATTCGCCGTTGTCATCTGCGTGGCCCTACTTTGCAGCCGTACGGAAGTTTGCTCCCCCCACAACCTCAAAACTGCTGCCGCGAACCTACACCCGAAAATATCTTGCACCGCTCCTGCAAAACCACAGAGATTCCCAACTAGCCAACTAGGACTGCGACTGGGACAGCTGTCGAGATGAACAAAGCTGTCAAGCCCAGCTACCAAACCGTGGACCGTCTCACGATGCACCACCGCGCTGCTCTGACTGACACCAAGCCATGTGAACATTGCGCAAATTCACTGACGAATGCCTTCAGTTACACAGTTGCGCGAATTTGAGGTGGTAAAACACTCTGTCACGCAACTCTACACTGAACTCCCAATTCAATTGTCTGCTCGTCTCGCAAATGTGAGGACATCGAACTGCACATGTTCTCAACACATTCTCAGGGAGGCTGAAAGGTTTCCCGACTTTCTTGGTGATTTATGAAAGACGGCTACCACAAACTCGCTTTCGCCCGCGCCGTTGATAGGACACTTGATGCAAATCACCATCACAAGAAACTACGTACATACGTACATACATACATACATACATACATACATACATCCATGCATGCATACATACATGTATAAATATATATATATATATAAGTATATAAGTATATAAGTATATAAGTATATAAGTATATAAGTATATAAGTATATAAATATATAAGTATATAAGTAAGTATATAAGTATATAAGTATATAAGTATATAAGTATATAAGTATATAAGTATATAAGTATATAAGTATATAAGTATATAAGTATATAAGTATATACGTATATAAGTATATCAATATATATATATATACACAAATATATAAAATGTATAAATATAAATATATATATATATATGGATATATATATATATATATATTTTGATATAAATAAATAAATATACGAATATAAATATATTATATATATATATATATTTATTTATTTATTTATATAGTTCACAAGCCACGCTCTCAGAGCTTTTTACCCTTTTGCCCGGAGAGGCTGGAAAGCATCAAGGTTGGCGCGCAGCCGTGGCTGCAAACAAAGCTTCCGCGCCTTTTCTGGCCCACAGGCCCCTCTCCCGTAGGAGGTTCTCGCGCCGGTCTTTGCGCGGCGGCGGGGTGGCGGCGGCGAGCCAAAAGCACACTACGCAGGGAACGATATTGTGAAAGAAGCGTGCTGCGCTACTCGGAGAGGTTGGAAAGCATCAAGGTTGGCGCGCAGCCGTGGCTGCAAACAAAGCTTCACCTGGAGGGCCAGCTTGTCGATAAAACTCGGCAACTGGATGAAAGTTGACAAACCTCAAAAGTCACCTCCGCGAGCTCCTCATCCAATTCTTCGAAAGACCGAGGAAGCCTGCCCCGTAGGGCGTGCACATAAGAACAAAAAGCCGAAACTGCTCTCTCGTAGGACTTGCGAGTCCTTGCCGTGACTCCCAGGAACCTCAAATGATCATTCCGGTTCAAATTTCCTCGACGCGGCATCGGCAAAATTCCACTTGCTGATCGTCCAGAGGACCATGGGGATGAGGCCCGAGGCGAGCGACACGGCAGAGATTCTTCGGCTTATTCTGTTCAACCTCTTTGAAGAGGAGCGGCCTTTGCCGAGCATGTAGAAAGCCACGAACGAGTCCACGACGCAAAAGAACCGCTTGCCGAGCTCCTTGTCGTTGCGACTGCGTCGCCGGAGCTCGGTCAGGAAGGCTGTCATCTCCAAGACTCTGTCCAAGACTCCAAGACGTTGATGTGCTGGTCTTCTTTCCGCTGGTAAGACAGCACATCCTTCCAGAGCCATCGGAAGGCGGGGTAAGGCCCCGGCCGATGTCCATAGACGTCGTCGCTTCTACAGAGAGGCGCACGTCACATCCATTGTGGCACGTGTGCCTCAAAACCACTTCAAGTGCTCTTCTTCTCCTCCCGCTTCCATGGTGTCAAGGAACCTGAGGCATTGGTCCATTGCCGAGGTAACAGAGGCATCTAGCTGCAGGCCTTTGGTGGCTCCTTGGAGCTGGTGCCGAATCAGAATCAAGCCCTCCAAATTGAAGGGCCAAAGGGGCCGTGTAGAGGGAGTTCAAGTCATAGTAGATATCCCCGGCCATGACAAGACAAAGCTGCCACGGATACTCGGTCTCGTTCTCCTCGAGGTCCGTCGCGTCAGCTTCCTGCCTCCTTGACCCACAGTCCCACTCTGGCTTGTTGAGGACTGCTCGGAGCGACTCAGAGTTGCGAAGAAACCCAAGCCATTGCCTTCTCTGGCCCCCAATACAACACACGGAGCATACACTCCAGTGCCATCCTTCTCCATAGAGAGGTCTGATCTCCGCGAGATCCCACAAGAAAGAAGAGCAGGGGTGCTCGAGCGAGGCGAAGGGGTCTTTCTTCTTCGCCTCAACCAAGCCTCTGATGGCCGGCTTGGCGACCGCACTTGCTTGTCGAACCTGCACCAGATCTCCCCTCATAAGTCGTTGCAGGCCTTCGGGCTGCTCCCTGCTGCGGAGTCGAATCCCCAGCTTGCTCGCGTGTCCTCTTTTCTTGGAAAAGGTGAATCGGGGCCGGGACCAGTGGCTCCATTTGAAGTCACCCACGACCTCCAAATCATCCATCACTGCCGGTGCCTGGCACGTCCTGACCCAGGGGAGGTTGCGAGGAGATTCCCTTCCGGGGTGTGCCACCACGGTGCAAGCTTGTGCGTGCACGCTCGCACACTGCAGAGCGCACGTCCTCAGTCCTCGCCGCCTTGCACCAAGTTAAGGTTCGGTGCCTTGGCTCTTGCATTTCCTTGCCGCAGCCACCACAAAGGTTGATGTCCCGGAAGGATGAGCGTCGTTCCCTTGAAGACGCTGGCCACAGAGCTTCCGCCACCACTTGGTGACGCGTCGGCGCAGGAGATCTCGGCTAAGACCTCCGAGGCCAGATCATTCTCAGCCAGGGCTGCCAACGGCGTGTAGATGACTACCTCGTCGACCACATGAGGCGGCAACGTTAGGTGCCCTCGGCCTCGACGTGCTGTTTCCAGGGTTCCGCAAGAGCGGCCGCCGAAAGGCTGCCGAGAAGGCCGCCTTGCCAGCCCAGTGTCATAGGCTGAAGACTGAGTGAGAAATCTCAGGGTCAAGGCGACGAGGGCGATGAGTTGAATCGTCTTGCCGTAGGCGTGCCGCAGGCTCCTCGCTTCACCCAGGATGTCTCCTCCTTGGAGGGCCCCCCGACAAAGCTCCGCAAAGCTGCTTTCCTTGGTTGCGGGGCAAACCGATGCCCTCACACGCCTCAATAAACTTGAGGTGGTTGGGAGACGGAGCTCCAACCTCCGCCTCGGCGATCTCCTTCTTCAAGTGACGTATCTCGTCGAGGTTGTCCAAATGGAGGACGGTCTTCGAGTCGGTGGCCGGGATCGCCGCTCCCATTGAAACATCACCCTGCGAGGGAAGCTTCGCAATACTGTGTTCACAATGTGCCGGATGGCGGCCTGAATCAGCGTAGCAGCTGAAGTCCATCCCACTGGCACCACCCGAAGTCCCGATCGCAGAAGTATTGCGTGATCCTCCCACGAGCCTTCTGAGAGAAACTGAACAGGGGGGCCCAGGATAGTAGCCATTCTGAACAGGCTGAATGCCGATTGGAGGTCCTCCGAATCGAGGACCAAGTATAGGAGTGCTTTTCGGCCATGATCGCCGAGAGCTGGCCGATGTAGGGCCACCGATACGATTGTTAGGCACCAAGGAGGAAACATGTAAGCCCGAAAGGGCGCCGTGTACTGTAAAGCCCTGGCCACCCCTCCTTGTTGGAGCGGGGCAGGCCAGACACAGGCACAAGACAAATGCCCATAAAGCCAGAAAGGTGCTGACTGCAAGATCCCAATGCAGCAGCTCCTTTCCGGGACAGCAAGGTCGCCGACTCGTCTCAAAAGAAATGGCAAGCACTCTGTAAAAGAGCCTAGTCAAACCAAAATCTCTGCTATGCACAGTCTCTGTACACATCATTACACCTCGGCCATCCTGAATAACAGGACAATGTCCCAAGCCTTCCGAGGTGGTGCACCACCACCAGCTCAACCCCACTGGCAACTTGACAATGGCGGCCTCAAGCGAACAAGTCCCCATGACTCGTCGACGAGGGTTCCCATCATCAGCGCCGCATGCATAAATACATACATACATACATACATACATACATACATACATACATACAAACACAAATACCTACATACAGACACACATACATACACACACACACACACTCACACACCCATCCATCCATCCATCCCTACCTACGTACGTGTGTACATATGTGTTGTTGCCCAAGTACTGGCGATTCAGGAACGCGGCGAATAAGTACTGGCGGGATTTAGAAAATCCTTTCCCCCAAGTCCCACCGCGCCACAGAGAGACCCGTGTCCCCGGGAGCGTGTTTACCTGCACGCCACGTGGACCTAACCAATTCTGTTCAGCCTGAACGTGAGCACCCCACAGTATGTACAACACTGTTTGGGGAATCACAGTGAAACAGCGGCGGCGGTGCCCTAAAGCAATCATTGGTGGGTGAACAAGCCGACCCGCATGTTAATGATAGGAAGAGACAACATCGAAGGATCGAAAAAGCGATGTCAGTGCCAACACTTGGCTGCCACAAGCCGGTTATCCCTCACATGGTTTCATAATGATGGTAGCTTAAGTTGCTTAGCACCCCATGACAACAAATCCCCTGTTTGTATGTACCTTGGGGAGGTCTCGTGGCTGTGCTCCTACTTCCGCCAGGACTTGGGGGAAAGCAGTGGTGTCCTGGTTGTCTCTAGTGGTCCGTGTAGTTTGCTGTTTCTTTCGCTTTTTTGGTGGTCTCCTGTTGGTTTCCGGCTGGTCTCCTGGTGGTTTCTTGGGGTCATTTGGTTGCCGTGGACGTCCTGGTCGCAGTGGTCGTCGTGGTGGTCCTAATGGTCGTTCTAGTGGTACGGTTGACACTGGTGGTCGTCGTGGTCGTGGTGGTCAAGGCGCTCTGTCACTGTTTGGGGATCTACCCTGGTCTACTGGTATCTGACTACAGGAAGTTCCGTAACAGCATCCGAATAAAGCTCGTGCACATAGATCCCGCTACACAACCCTTTCAGGACCCTGCAGGAGCAGGCAGGCAGACGCGGCCTCGAAGGTCCGGGACTCACAAGCCTGGCCCTGCCAGCCGATGCTGCAAGCGCAGCGAGTCCAACCTCTGGAAGAAGGGTAGGAAGGTAGGGAGGTAGACAGACAGATACATAGATAGCGCATGTAGCGATTACTGTCGATCTGCATATACTGGGCAGCTATATTCACACATATACCCATGCATTACATACAAGTGTATCTTTACCAGGACGATCATCCCTACTATGTGAATCCGTGATGACGAAACCATTGACCCTCAAACCTTACAGTAACAGTAACCCTCAGAGTCTGCGGTACCAAGGAGCTCTGCACCTGCACCAGCCTTTGCTCGCCGGAAACAGCGGTGTTTTGACTGGCCTGCACGGCAAAGTGGCTTGGGTGCAGCTGTGCGAGGTATAGAAATCTTTGCTGCCACAAGTTCAGATGCCGCAGGCTCTGCCGAGGATGGGTTTGATGTGCAGCTGCAAAAAAACACGCCAAAACCATTCAAAGTGCTCCACTTTCAGGAGCATAAGTCAAGTCCTGTCGCCCTCTTGTTTTAGCAGGGCGGCATTCGTCGCCACCACCGCATTGCGGACCATCACCACCTTACTTGCTGTGTCTTTTTGGTCAAAGACACGATGACTGAACCTTAAGCGCGACACGTAGTCCGGTTCCGGACATGCTCCGTTGGGTCCACAATCCTGTCGTTTCGTGGAGGCCCTATAGTGGGCAGACAGTCGAACGGATAAGATGTTCCATCTGCGTGTGAAGGTGCTCTGCGATGCTCTGCGAACACGCACATATGCTACTCGTAGTATACATACATACTGTACTATACTTAGCAGCCACGACATGTTATAGAAAACTCAAGGCAATACTACATGCCCGACACTACGTACACAAAAACATACATGCGTAAATACATGCACGGGTACAAGTACGCATACATTCACACCTAAACGCATACGTACATAGGTCATACATGCACACATCCGCTTCTCTATGCATGTACATACACACAAGTATACCTACTATTGCATTTACATACCGTTACATACCCCTACATACCATTAACAACATTACAGGGCTGGGCTGGGCTGGGCTGGGCTGGGCTGGGCTGGGCTGGGCTGGGGGCTGGGCTGGGGGCTGGG